TGTCTGCTCAGAGACTACAGAGATCCAAAAAATCCCAACAACCGCCTCATCTGCTTAACGCTCGACCTTGCACTCGAGGAAAAGGGACAGCAACGTCACCCAGTTGCCTGCAGCGACACGACGAAGTGATGTCACAATGTTGGCTTCACTGACTCCCCTTCACAAAAGGATGGAAATTAAACAGGAAGCTCAGTGAAAGCTTCCACTGCTGTCGTGACAGATAGGACTTTAGTTTGGTTAAATGCCAATCCTTAGTGAAACAGGAAGATGGAATTTTGCTCTATGTGGCATTTTCTGGCCTTTATATACTGTCAGAAATGTTCCAACCATGTTTGGTGTGCCAACTATGTTACCCAATCATTTAAAAAGTTGTTGTTTGTCCCTAAAAAATGTTTTCTTTGTTGTGTTGAGGCATAGCAAATGTGGTTCTTTAAAAACATGCTAGCACATTTAAGAAAACAACCGGCACTGTTTACATCAGTGTTCACTAAGTAACAGTCTTCTTCTTCCCTTTTGTTGACCCATCGCTATGTTTCTTGGCACTCTAACACCGCAGACTGTCGTTTAATTAAAACCATTGGCAGGAATATATTCAGACCCGGCGCCGTGGGAGGACCAGGCCCATTTGACATTTCTGCCCTCCCCCAATAAACACGTTTTTTATTAAAAAAAAAAGTTTTTATTATAAACTGTGAACTTTAATGCTACGATGTATGTGATTTCAGATAGTAATATAAGAGTAATACATGAAAAACAGGTATGTACAACGGAGTATTAGGGCCACACTTAGAAGAAAAAAAACAGAGAGATTTCGAGAATAAAGTCGTCCATTACGAGAATAAAGTCATAGTTACGAGAATAAAGTCGTAATATTTCGAGAATAAAGTCATAATTACGAGAATAAAGTCGTAATATTTCGAGAATAAAGTCGTAATGTTACGAGAATAAAGTAATAATTACGAGAATAAAGTCGTAATATTACGAGAATAAAGTCGTAATGTTACGAGAATAAAGTAATAATTACGAGATTAAAGTCGTAATTTCATAAGTGACTTGAGAAGCGGACTTGGAGGAGATTGTCTCCTTTCTGCAGGAGGAAATGGCTGGTTCTGGCCGACTACATTACATTACATTGCATTCAGCTGACGCTTTTATCCAAAGCGACTTACAATAAGTGCATTCGACCAAGAAGATACAAACTTGAAGAAAACAGAATCATATAAGTAGGCTACATCAGGTTTCATAGAGCTAAAACATTTCAAGTGCTACTCAACTGGTTTTAGATAAGCCAGTCCTTTATTAGTATATAAGTGCTTTGTTAGCAATTATTTGTTAGTAATTATATCGCTCGAAGTGGAGTCGAAAGAGATGAGTTTTCAGTCTGCGCCGGAAGATGTGCAAGCTTTCTGCTGTCCTGATTTCTATGGGGAGCTCATTCCGATTCCACTACAAGGCTATCGTTCGACTCCTTCCGGATCCAAAGCCTTGATTACAAGTCTCATCGTTTCTTGTGAAACAACAAACCCCCTTTGAACAGCTCGTAGATGTAACCAACGATAGCCTTGTAGTCGGCCAGAACCAGCCATTTCCTCCTGCAGAAAGTTGACAATCTCCTCCAAGTCCGTTTGGTTCTTTCTTCGAAATAATAGACATAGTTTCTTGAACAACCTTTTCAAAGTTCTAATACTTATGATAATCTGATGCTGATGTGCCAAAAGATTAAGTATTTAGTTATTTGAGAAACCTAAACTAAAGTATTGCTTCACAAGATGCTCCACATTCCTCATTGTATTGCAGGACGCTGCTGTTGTCTCCTTCTCAAGTCAATCATGAAACTGCGACTTTCATCTCGTAACATTACGACTTTATTCTCGTAATATTACGTCTTTATTCTCGTAACTATGACTTTATTCTCGTATTATTACGACTTTATTCTCTAAATATTTTTTTTTCTAAGTGTGGCCCTAATACTCCGTCGTAGGTATGAAATACTATATGACAGTAAAACAAGAATACAGTTTTAAAAGGGGAGTGATTAGTAAAATATCCATAAAGAAATAGTAAATCTGTTTACAGTTCTATTTCATATGGGTGTTGAGAGATGTATCCATAGATCTCTTCATTTTGCTCTCAAAGTGCACCAGATTGATGCTTTCAACTTCAATATAAAAAAACAAATCTTCCCGGGGGAGCATGCCCCCGGACCCCCCTAGAGGAAGTTAGGTCTCCCCCCCACAAAAAAATTAGCACTTTACCCTTGCTTACACCTATATGCCGTGAGCTGATTATCGAGACTTCATTGTAACAGTCGCGGGTACACTGTGTATGTGTGGGGATTGTTGCAGTAGAAAATTCAACTGTAGCGCCGGTACCTTAATGGGAAACCCTACATGTTTGAGCACCCTTTATGAAACGTCAAGCTATCCCACAGCACCCCCAAAAGAAAATCTCTGGTGCCGCCACTGGCCGCGGCACATGACGGTTTTGTGTGCCCTCCCATGAGAATCATATGCCCTCTCTGTAGATTTGTTCTGGCGCCGGGCCTGAATATATTGTGCCACTCAGCCATGTTCATACAGTATGCTTCCTTGTGCATGTGGGACATGCTCACAGGAATTTTTATTCACAGCACTGCTTATTGATATTTATACAACAGAGTTTGGTAAATTCTCTTTTTAGTCCAAATTACTTCTGACTTCTTTCCTGTCAAATTAATTGAAACTCAAAATGAAGTCCTCTTTCCAGCAAGCTCTCCTGGGAGCTGGGAATGAAATACACCCTGTGGCTGAATATAAGTAGACACGTAAACACTATACCCTGTTAAACATGTCTTCTTCCACTCTTCTGTCTCATGCTGTCTATCAGATTTTCGAACCAGCTGCTGAGATTTTCGAACCAGCTGCTGAGATTTGCTCCCTTTCAGCATTAACAGCATCCATCGCTGATTCTAGGCCATACATACAAATTCCAGCTCATACTAAGGGTTTTGAACAGGGTTGAGATTAAGTCTCTGTGCAGTCAATTTAATTCACAATTACACTTGAGATTCAAATGTACTTTGTTACCGGCTTCTTCAACACTTTCATTTATTCACTTACTTTTCAAGTTACTGTGCTTTACTGCTTACTTTTTTATTAGGTGTTTTTCTTTTTATTTAATATGCAAGTCCATTCTGTTTTCCTTTTGACTTTGGTCTGCACTGCAACTTTGTTCCTGTAATGTCACACATTTCCCTGCTGCATGACTTGTAAAGGATTTCTGAGGCGGATTTTAACATATTGGCAAAAAGAAACATATATTCTATAAGCTTAGTGTGGCAGGGGGTGAGAGATGTTGTGAAGCATTGATCAATCCAACACATGGAAGGGAAGTCTGTTTTTATATAGACTACCATGAGGGTCTATAAAAAGAATTGTGTGATCAAACATTTCCTCCAGTGACTTTCCACTCAGCACTTTCAGCTACGTGGTTGTAATAGAATTTGACTGCACTAAAGCGGTGGGGTCCAGTCAATTAACTGCAGTGGTAAAAAGGTGTCACCTTGAAAATCTTTTTACCACCTAATTATTAACTTTACTACAAAGTCGCATTCAAGACTACTTGTTTTAAGTGTAACTTTTTAGGGTTAGGGTTAGGGAAACATCAAATGATTACTGCCCTGCAGCTTCCTCGGGAGATAGCAATTATTTGGAATTAAATCCCATTCACTGTTCAGCCAGCAGCAAGAACAAGGTGAGGTCTGACAAGCTGTCAGCTGGGAAAATGAAATGAAAAGTGCAGTCTAAATCTTCCATCTTTAATTTTCATTAACCTTGAAGAATTCTGACTTTTAACAAGCTAGCTTCTCTTCTGCTCTGCTGCTTTTTAACTCCATATTTACTTTCTCAAACGTGTTTTAACATACCTTGACCTTTTGTCCTGTTTCTACCGTCCTGTGGCTTTCCAGACGATATGCAGCAATATGCATATTGTGCAGCATACATGTTTTCAATGAGATTTGATCTACAAACTATCAAATTACTTCTCTGAAAGACCTTTAAACGTTCTTTTTTACTAATCTAAAGAAACTGAATGGTCAGTGTTAATTCCACAAAACCAGTGGGGGAAAGTAAGTACATTTACTTAAGTACTGTACATAAGTACACAGTGCTTTTTATTCTTTATAGTTCTACTCTATTACATTTTGGAAATGTACAAATTGTAATCCACATTTGTTTTACATATGTATTTACTAGTGACTTTATACATTTAGATTTGGACACACAACATTTAGGAAACATGTTTAAAATATGAATATGGATTAAACTACGAAAACAAATTGGCCTGTACTTCAGGGACCGACAAAGACAAAAAAAAAATGCTGCAGAACATAAAATAATATACATTTAACAAGTCAACCAACATTAAGGGGTCAGGGCAGTCAAAAGTAATACCATAAACTGCTACCTCAGCCCTTTTAAAATATTATACAATGCTATACCTTGTGCCTTATTATCTTAACAAGACCAGATTTAAGTCTTTCCCATCATCATGCCAAGCTGTAAAGCCTGCAATTTAAAGTGAGGTAAGAAAAGGAGTGTAATCACTTGATCATAAACCTCAGGGAGGTTGGTGGAGGATTGGCCATAAAACAGGAATATATATTCCTCACAGGAGGGGCATCTGTCCCATTAGTTGGATGGAGCCCACACAATTTTACTTTTGGCATGAATTCACTGAGCAAGTAGCATTTTGTATTCCTAGAAAATGTGTTTGTTCTCCACAGAGTCTCCAGCCGCTATGTACTGAGCTTTATCTCCCAGGCTGCTTTGCAAAGACTACAAGACACAGCAGAATAATTGGAAAATATGGAAACAAACCGTGACAAGAAAAGCTTGGAGCCTGTTGTTCCACCAGAGTATACAATCTGCTCTAATATGAGGTCTGTGTGAACACGACTGGAGTATGTTCTTTTACACTTTACATTTTGTTTGTACGTTTTCCTTCGGTGTGCACAGTACCTGACAGTATGAAGAATATTCCGGAAACAAAGGCGAGGATGGTGCGCTGAGGCCGGATGTGTCCGATGTTGCTGATGATGAAGGCGGTGAAGACGAAGAGTAAGGAGACCATAGGGAAAGGAGTGGCAGTCCGGACCATTTCTGGAAGATTGTGAGAGAGGACATGAGAAGGATGAACAAGATTAAAAAACAAGACCTTTCAGACATGTGCATTGTTAAAGAATAAAGCCCTGAATTCACTTAATAAAGAATGATAAAATACTGCTGAAAAAATCTCATTAAAATTTGAAGTCAGGCCGTTGTTTGAACAATTTATTTAAAAGAATCCCCTCCTTCAATGAGTCAACGTTGTTGCTTTAAGTCTAGAAGCAGCAGGCATTAAAAACTTGAAACCTTGAAAATGTTAACAGTGCATCATAAATAACGATAAAGAATGTCATTAACTCAATTTCTATTGTGAGTCTTGTTCATCCATGTGGATTAAAGCCAGTCAACCAAGGAAACCTTTTTTTTAATTATTATTATTTTTTTTTTTTCTGCATATACATGAATGTGTTTATTTATTTTCAATTTGTGGTAGAATAGTTTGGTATATACAACAGGAAGTCCACATTTGTGAATTGCAACCTATTTAGTAACCTTGAACACACACCTCCTTGTTATTGCACATACTATGGTTTGATTGTCTTTTAGCTCCAATTTGGTGTTCACCAATTCCTGAGCAGAATGTCCGGTTGCTAAATGTTCCACTATGTTAATTACAAAGTCACTAATTCTAGAGAGACCATGAAAATTGGTAAAAACTGTGGCGTTACCTGCTTTAAAAACAAAAAGAAAGACCCTGACACACCCCTGAGATAAGTGGGGTAATCACAACGTTTTCACATCACACATTGTGTTGGGTAACACTAACATCAAATCATATCTAGTGGAAAATGGTGTGCTACTGAGTTTTGGAGCATGTTTGTGTGAAGGTCCTAAACCCTACAGTTTTTGGTGAAGCGTGTATCGAGGCTTGTATCGTTTTAGGACAGTGATGTCATCGATGGGGGTGAGTTTAACCAGAAAAGGAAATTCTGACTTAAACCAAGTCAAACAGCAACTAAGCAAACATCTGACTGCCAACAATATTTTAAAGTTAGTAACTATTATTACACTCTTTACCTAGGATACATGTATTGCTTCTGCTATCAACAGTGTCAAACACAAGAAGGGACTACTGACCCCCCCTTTCTCTTCAGCCCAGAGTGTCTATACTTCCAAATACCAAAATGACACTACTACTACTAAAACAAGGGTAGCATCTTAATTAGAAAATGCTGCACACACAAGCATGTTAACCTGGTAATCTATGTTATTGATAAACCTGGAATTAAATTAACTCATTGATGGCTCCACCCTGTTTTCCACTAGGCCCTGGGTGGCCTGAATCAGCATGATGACACAATACTACTACAACTACATAATACAATTTCTTTCTCAAAATACCCAAATACATATACATTTTAATGTAGCCTACTTGGGGTTATGTTGAGCAAGGCAGTATATGATTTATTCAGCAACTTCGCCCACACTGCTCCCACAGTGTTATGACTTGTGTGTCTACCTGAGGACAACACCATGGTGTGCTTTACTTCAAAGACAAAGAGCAAACTGTGGTGGGCAGATCACTTTGAAGCCAATTCACAGTGTCAACATCCTAAATCATTAAAGCAGCGCAGAGACAAAATGGATCCTCTGGGATGTAGAGAGCTCTTGACAACCATTTACTGTTTGACCATAAAAACAAAAGATAAATGTTCACAGGGTTCATAAAAAAAAAAGTCTTTTAAATGGTTATTTTGCCAGGAACGGGGCTTTATGTAACTTGTTGGCAAATGGCATAACATGTATAAATGTATTATGTGTCCTGAGAGACCAAGTATCCAAAAGACAAAGTGCTTTCGTGTCAGCATGTTGAAATATCTGAAGATGGACCTATGTTAATGTTTGGTAACGTTATCTAAAATAAGTGTTACAATGTTATGTTTTTAATTTTATGAAATATGTTCTTAAAGCGCAATTCTCTAAAATGTATTTAGAGAAGGTATGATGGTAACAACAATAGGATTTTATTGTTGTTTGTTTTCAGGGGTGTCAAACTTACTTTTATCCTGGGCCAAATCAGTATTATGGTTGCCCTCAAAAGGCCGGTTGTAACTGTAGACTCCTAATCATATTACTTTGACTCATTCGATTGATGCATTTGTTTGTTATTACATTTAATACTAACTTAAATAATAACTAGCTCTGAAAGCAGAAGTCTGGCAAGCAGACTTTAAGTGCTATTGCAGGGCCTAGAAAATAAAAAAAGGGTTTTGTGACAGAAACGCATGCTTGTGCATCAGTATATTTGCATATACTTAGACTAAAAAATACTGTATGTGGGCACACACAATAACTTTCTGTGTTATTATAACATAAGTCCCATAAAGAGATTAAGAAACCCTCATCATCACTCATCCAACAACATTTTCATTTATACTGTTAAAAATGTATACAAAACTGAGCTGTGAGATGAAGACTAAAACAAAATACAATAACATTAAACAACCTTTTTCTATTAAATTAAGACGATTCAAAAAAGTGCCGCTGCTGATATTGAGGCACTTTGCTGCCCATGTAACAGGGTCGAGGTGAATTGTGGGACATGTAGTTTATGGACAGTGTACATGGATGACCTTACATTTTTTGATGTTAAACACGACCAAAACTGAAGTTATTGTACTTGGCCCGAAGAATCTACGAAACAAATTATCTAAAGATATACTAACTATGGATGGCATTAATTTGGCCTCCAGTGAGACTGTAAGGAATCTTGGTGTTATATTTGATCAGGATGTATCCTTTAACGCCCACATAAAATCAATTTCAAGGACCGCCTACTTCCATCTACGTAACATTTCAAAAATCAGGCATATCTTGCCTCAAAACGATGCAGAGAAACTAGTCCATGCATTTGTTACTTCAAGGCTGGATTATTGTAACTCCTTATTATCAGGGTGTACCAAGAAGTCAGTCAAGTTGCTTCAGCTGATTCAAAATGCTGCAGCTTGTGTACTAACCAGAGTTAGGAAAAGGGACCACATTACTCCTGTTCTGGCTGCCTTACACTGGCTCCCTATAGAACACAGGATAGAATTTAAAATTCTTCTTCTCGCCTACAAAGCCCTTAATGGGCAGGCGCCATCTTACCTTAAATAACTCATGATACCCTACTGTCCTACTAGGGCATTGCGTTCCAAGAATGCAGGGTTGTTGGTTGTTCCTAGAGTCTCTAAAAGTACAATGGGAGCCAGAGCCTTTTCTTATCAAGCTCCACATTTGTGGAATCAGCTTCCAGTTTGTGTTCGGGGCGGCAGACACCCTATCCGTTTTTAAGAGTGCGCTTAAGACCTTCCTTTTTGATAAAGCTTATAGTTAGGGCTGATTAGATTCAGCCCCTAGTTTTGCTGATATAGGCTTAGTTTGTCGGGGGACATCTTACTTCTTCCTTCTCTCTGTCTATACCTGTGTACTCTCATGTTCCAATTAACCCAGCTTCCCCAAATTTCTTTCTTTTTGGTGTCTATATACGCTGGGATCCGGAGTCATGGATGATCCTGCAGTCCTGTGTCCTGGATCGCGAGCCCTGGATCTTGAGTCGTGGCTGTGGTCCTGGATCATAGGTCCTGGATGGATATCCTCGTGGATTCATCTTCCTATTATACACACATGCATTTCCAAACATTTGGACTACCTATGTTGCAAATGTATTATCTTTTCAATTTACACACGGCATCTATTGCACGTCTGTCCGTCCTGGGAGAGGGATCCCTCCTCTGTTGCTCTCCCTGAGGTTTCTCCCATTTTTCCCTTTAAACTGTGGGTTTTCTCCGGAAGTTTTTCCTTGTACGATGTGAGGGTCTAAGGACAGGGGGTGTCGTATTGTCATACTGATATTCTGTACAAACTGTGAAGACCACTGAGACAAATGTAACATTTGTGATATTGGGCTATATAAATAAATATTGATTGATTGATTGATACTAGTGAAAATCACTATAGAAATGATAAGCAAATAATATGTTTTGCTAGCTCTTGCGGGCCACATAACATAGAGTACCACAGTGACGCATCCTAAAACCCGGAAGTAAGCTTCTTCCAGTTCCCTCGACAAAATTGCATTGCTTTTTTGTCGAGGGAACCGGAAGAAGCTTACTTCCGGGTTTTAGAACTGTGGCACTCCATTATGTAGCGGGTTTGAAATGGTTCACATGTACTACGTTTAGATGTGACTCACTGAGTATGTTGGCTGTATTTTCTGTCGTGATCTCAATCTCTGGCTCCGTGAAATACTCTGCCGCCACACATCTGCCCTTCTCCGGTCCTGAGAGAAAGAGAAAAAAGAAAGATTGAAAAACGAGAAGAAAGGCAAGAGAGAAGAAGTCGGTTGAGCATGAACTGGTCTTATCAGGTCACATACAATATGGAAATATTTGTATCTAGAAAGAAGAATAAACAAACAATTTTAAACAAAAGTCAAGAAAGATGGAAAAAGGGCAGACGAACAAAGAGATTTGGAAATGATGAATACTAAGAAAGGTGAGAAAGGATCCCTCAAAGAGATCATGAAAAGATGGGAACACTGAGCCAGATAATGCAAGAGAGAGATATAGTGAATTAGCGGCAGAGACAGATGGAGGTCAGGAGGTTTAGGAGAAAAAACAAGGTCTGAGCCGTGAGAGAGGAGAACGGAATACAGACACGACAATTAACATCAAAATGTAGGCAAACACAAACAACTAAATCTACACGGAAATGTGTCAAAAAATTGAGCATCACAAACACAAACAGGATTATTTGTCTCTCTCTCTCTCTTTTCACATACACACACACATAGATACACAAACACACATAGCCATTCCAAATGCCACCAGCGTTTTCCTCCCCTGACCTTTTGTACCAGGCGTCAGACAACAGGGAAACACAAACATGGCCGCCTCCCCAGAGCAACGCCATCATGACCCCGAAACACAGACAGCTACTGCAATGAGGACAGTTATTTGTATCCACCCTGCTGTGTGGTGGGTGTGTGTGTGTGTGTGTGTGTGGGTGTGTGTGGTGTGTGGTGTGTGTGTGTGTGTGTGTGTGTGTGTGTGTGTGTGTGTGTGTGTGTGTGTGTGTGTGTGTGTGTGTGTGTGTGTGTGTGTGCTCAGCTTTGGCAATTAAAAAGAAACATTGTAAAACATCAGCAAAAGCTCTATACTCAGCGGCTGTTCAAGCCCTTATTACGACCAAATATATTGGTCGATTGTTCAATCGCTTATTACGACCTATAATCACGTTTTAAAGTTGTCGACCTCTAGTGCTCCCGTTGAATGCAAACGCTACGTTGGGTTGTATATTCACAAATAACCCTCTCTGGAAAATCCTAAATTGTAGGATAGTTTGGCCATTAAAATGCTTTTTGACTAGATTTCTAGCGAGAAGTGTATATTGTACTTTTAGAATCCACGTCCAGTCAATGTGTAGGATCTATAGTTTGATAGATATTACGAAGATGATTTGAGGTCTCGCCAGGAGAACGTGTAATGGCAGCGTCCATGTAAAGTTAGCGTCAACCCTCACGGGGTGAAAACAGTATTTCCGGTCTCGAAGTTTTCATAATAAAACCGTATTCCCCTCACTGTCAAATTATTTTAAAGCTAAATCTGCAGTACTCATCCACTAAAACATCAGTTTATCCTTGTTAATTACACAACATTAATTGGTTTGAATTGTGTAATGCTTTTGTGTTTTTCCCATAGGTCAATCAATCAATCAATCAATGTTTATTTATATAGCCCAATATCACAAATGTTACATTTGTCTCAGTGGACTTTACAGTTTGTACAAAATATCAGTATGACAATACGACACCCTCTGTCCTTAGACCCTCACATCGTACAAGGAAAAACTTCCGGAGAAAACCCACAGTTTAAAGGGAAAAATGGGAGAAACCTCAGGGAGAGCAACAGAGGAGGGATCCCTCTCCCAGGACGGACAGACGTGCAATAGATGCCGTGTGTAAATTGAAAAGATAATACATTTGCAACATAGGTAGTCCAAATGTTTGGAAATGCATGTGTGTATAATAGGAAAATGAATCCACGAGGATATCCATCCAGGACCTATGATCCAGGACCACAGCCACGACTCAAGATCCAGGGCTCGCGATCCAGGACAGAGGAGCGCAGGATCATCCATGACTCCGGATCCCGGCGTATATAGACACCAAAAAGAAAGACATTTGGGGAAGCTGGGTTAATCGGAACATGAGAGTACACAGGTATAGACAGAGAGAAGGAAGAAGTAAGATGTCCCCCGACAAACTAAGCCTATATCAGCAAAACTAGGGGCTGGATCTAATCAGCCCTAACTATAAGCTTTATCAAAAAGGAAGGTCTTAAGCGCACTCTTAAAAACGGATAGGGTGTCTGCCGCCCGAACACAAACTGGAAGCTGATTCCACAAATGTGGAGCTTGATAAGAAAAGGCTCTGGCTCCCATTGTACTTTTAGAGACTCTAGGAACAACCAACAACCCTGCATTCTTGGAACGCAATGCCCTAGTAGGACAGTAGGGTATAATGAGTTCTTTAAGGTAAGATGGCGCCTGCCCATTAAGGGCTTTGTAGGCGAGAAGAAGAATTTTAAATTCTATCCTGTGTTCTATAGGGAGCCAGTGTAAGGCAGCCAGAACAGGAGTAATGTGGTCCCTTTTCCTAACTCTGGTTAGTACACGAGCCGCAGCATTTTGAATCAGCTGAAGCGACTTGACTGACTTCTTGGTACACCCTGATAATAAAGAGTTACAATAATCCAGCCTTGAAGTAACAAATGCATGGACTAGTTTCTCTGCATCGTTTTGAGGCAAGATATGCCTGATTTTTGCAATGTTACGTAGATGGAAGTAGGCGGTCCTTGAAATTGATTTTATGTGGGCGTTAAAGGATAAATCCTGATCAAATATAACACCAAGATTCCTTACAGTCTCACTGGAGGCCAAATTAATGCCATCCATAGTTAGTATATCCTTAGATAATTTGTTTCGTAGATTCTTCGGGCCAAGTACAATAACTTCAGTTTTGGTCGTGTTTAACATCAAAAAGTTTAAGGTCATCCACCTTTTTAAGTCCTTAAGGCAGTCTTGAATTGTATTTAGATGATTAATTTCATCAGGCTTGATTGATAAATATAGTTGAGTATCATCCGCATAACAATGAAAGTTTACAGAATGATTCCTTATAATATTGCCTAACGGAAGCATATATAATGTGAACAAAATAGGTCCGAGCACTGAGCCCTGTGGCACTCCATGGCTAACTTTGGTTTGCGTGGAAGATTCATCATTGCCACGTACAAACTGAGAGCGTTCAGATAGATAGGACCTAAACCAGTCTAAAGCAGTTCCCTGTATGCCAACTAAGTGCTCTAGTCTTTGCAATAAGATATAGGTTTTTCCCTTTAGATTCTGAGAGACACATTTCTTATTTCAGAGGTTTTGATATTAAAACATCGAACTTGAAGGTCGGAGATTGGATGTTTTAGCCGCAATGCCGAAATGGTATTTATGCGATATGAAATCCACATTTAAAAAAAAAAAATACTTTATTCCGAGTGTTCTTGCTTTTCTCTTTAGAAGTCATCACATAACGGCATTGTAATACACGGTTCGGCTGCATTAAATATTACACATCTGCCGTAGTTCTTTATTTATAGAGCCCTGATTAGAAGACTTCTAGACAAACTGGAAGAAATGCCGCCGAAACTGAATACGTGACGTGGATCATAAATATATCAGCAATTACACAACATCTTCCATTTATTTTCACACAATACAGTACGTCTCCTTGCAGTATCAACACTAATTCGGCTGACTTTTATATTTGATCCAATTGGTAAATAGGCTGTATTCACAGCTGATAGAAAAGGACTTGTAGTTTTTAAAGATATTACTGATTTTCTTTGAATTAAAGAATGTAAATACTGAGTTGAGAGAATAGTCAGGGGTTTTTGGTGATGGGAGACACATTTATGGAATCACAATTTCAATAGCTTACCATTAAATTATGCATATACCTTTCTGTAATCAGATATTAAAGTGTATACGCATTAATATCTGATATATTACATTATATATATCATATATAATATATATATATATATAATGTATATATATATATATACATTATCAGCTATACTATTTCACACATTGTAGTTCTAATATGTGAAATAGTATAGCAATATCCTGTACAATGATGTGAAAACATGAATACAACCACACATCTTAAGATGTTATACATACATAAGTGTCATACACTAATAATACAAAGTTATTATGGCATTGTATGCTGTGTGTTATTTGCAACATCTTCAGAAACTACCTTTCCAACTCCTCATGCAGTTGACTGTTACAGGTCTATACAGGCTCATGGCAGTGGCGGCTGGTGGAAAATATTTTTGGTGGGGCTGTTGATATAGTGAGTAAAACACATTTTTTTGGGGAGAAATTACCCCTTAAATTAGGACTTCTGGTGATGTAATGGCGCGTTTCCAGTGCAGCGCGGAGCTCGCTTTAATGCTGCGTTCAGACCGGACGCGATGCGAATATTCGCTTCGCTCTAAACGCTCCTATCACATCGCTCTAGTCGCTCGAGTTTCACCGCGGCTGCCAGCTATGTTTACTCGCATCATTCAAACAAGACGCGCTGGCTCGGGAGCTACAACTATAACAAAATGAACATATTTTACGGTGATTAAATTGTAATACACGTTTCAAAATGATGCCGACGTAACAACATACTGATACCGGTTAGTAAAAACCATGAATTAATGCTTTGACAAGTCTGCAGATAGACGGCAGATGAAAAACAACGGCCTATACAGACATAAATAAACCAGCGACTGTATTCTCCATGACACAGACAGTCTGTGGTTTGTAGCCTACTTGTTTAACTTTTGTCTAGTTTCTGAACAGATCGGATCTGTCCCCGGCTGTTTGAAGAGCAAGTATGGGAAACAAAAGATAGCATTTACCTGTTTGCATCGTTTGCATCCAGCTAGCCTCGTTGATACGTTTTGTCTTTTTCACGAGCTTGCTGTGATATATACAAATCGGGTTGGTCCGGTCCAAGGTCTTTAAGTATCAATTTATCTCCCAAACTTCTCCTTTCGAAAGGATTGGAGAGTAGCTCTTGCACGGAATTGGGTGCGGACCGAGGACCGGCGACTCCACCTGCACACCATTCTCATCCAAATACTGCGTAACCTTGGTCACTCACGAGTCTAAAAAACAACTCACGTCAACGCACGTAAGCAACGTGAGCGCCAACGTGAGCGCCCTCGT